GCGATATCAAGAGCAGGTCATGGAGTGAAGTGTGCTGTGGATCAACTTGTAGTCTCGAGAACATCGAATGAGGATAATATAGAAATAGAGGATCTCCGAGAGCAGTTTGGTAGTGATGTATTCCAGGATTTACAGACAGTTATGTCGTGCCAGAGCGATGCCGCCGCGGAGATCGCGGTCTTTGGTCGTACGATGTTGCTTTCGGATATGTCCACACGAGTCTTCAAGAATCGTGATAAACTCCATCGTTTGAGTCGGTATTCTTTGGTCCTGTATAATGCATTGGTATCGACCATGTTGCGTGTCACTGGTTGTGGGTTAGAGCTATTAGATCCTGTAGTACCTCCATTAAAGGAGTTCAGTCGGGCATTGGAGGCCTCACGATTCCGTCTGGTTGAGGATATGGTCAAACCTGAGCTATTAAAGACCCATCCACCTCCGTTGGATAATATCAATCTCACCATGCAAGAGTGTGTGGATGCCTTCTTGGGTGCCCGACGAGATATGGTACTGGATGCCCTTAATGGCTCGGACCGGGCAATAAGGATTACTAATGCAGGTGGCTTCCGTGTCTATCATTTGGTTTATGCATTATCAGTCTTTGCTGAGCTATGGACTGGTCTGGAATCGGAACTTATAGGTCGCCAAAGGCCATGCGAAATGATCCGTTTATCAACTGATATGGGCGATGCTCATCGTCTTCTTAGAACGATGTCCACTACACTACCATCTGCAGCTGATGCGCCGACTCGTCAGTTGACCTCGAGGCGGCCATCAAAGTCATGACTGACAATGTATAATACAAATCACATCATCGACTCTGCAATGTACCCAATGATGGTATGAAAGCAATTAATCAAGCGGTCAGAGCTCACAGATATCGCCGAGTACTGAACAGCTGTTTGCTAGGGTTCTTCGTAACTTACCTTTCGTTATTCCTCTTTGGTAGTTGTTGTTGTGTGATTGGTGAGCCCAGACCTGCATCATCCATTAACGGTGCTGTATCGACTAGTTTTTTAATGGTCTTCACACCTTATGACTACTATCCACGATCAGG